AAAACATCTGTATGGGTTCAATACCGTCAGAGCTCCCCGACTCACATACAAATATTCAACATCTGCAGTTTGTTGAATCCGAGGCTGTAGAACCCATGGATATAGTGGGTTACTAGACTTACTCTGGCTTTTTCTAAGAAAAAGTTTGCCTTGCCTGCAGTACACCTGGAGAAGCTTAAACTTTATCTCGTAAAGCCTTCAACTTGTAAGGGCAATTACTGCTGAGTATCAAAGTAAAGAAAGAATGCTTGCTGTGGGAGAAGCGGGAGGTGAAAATGAGAAAGTGACCCTGAATTTTGTTTTGTTCCTTTGGGTAGCTTTAAAGAGGGCAGAAACGGTCTTAGACTGCTTGATTCTATAGATAATTTAAATGCAGGGCTCTAGTGGGGTTGACCCACGTAGTTGAAACATGGAGGGCAACTGCCTTGTGAGAAGGACATATTTTGTCTGTTGTCCTATGCTTTTGTTTTTATCAACTGGGATTCCTTTCTTTGAGACAGGATCTCCTTATGCAGTCTAGGTTGGTCTTGAACATGCAATCTACCTGTCTCAGTCTCTGAATACTGTGATGACAGGCCTGAGCTATCATGCCTGGCTTTATCAATCAGATCCTAGCTGTTTTTAACAGTTGAGGATTTTGAAAAGGAGACCTTGAGAAAAGGTGGTGATAAGGATATTGCAGGCTTCAGTGGAAAAAATGTTTTTTCTTCACAAACTTTTTGCAAGATCAAGTTCAAGGGCAGGCAGTCTGGTTATATAGAGACATCCCGTCAAAAAAGAAAGAGAGACAGTGGCAGAGGCAGAGACAGACACACAGAGTCAGACACACAGAAAAAAGTTGGAGACTTTTAGTACAGTCAGAGATAATATATCATGTGTTATAGTGGATGGGGGTGGCACTAGTCAGGCTCAGTGCCATAAACAAACAAGTCTTTTTCTTTATTCTTTCTTTGCTTTGCAAGTGTGTGTGTGTGTGTGTGTGTGTGTGTGTGTGTGTGTGTGTGTGTGTGTGTGTGTGTAGGCCAGAGGCTGACATACGGTGTCTTCCTCAATTACTCTACATCTTATATGTTGAGGCAGGGCCTCTTGCTTGAACCTAGAGCTAGTGGATTCAGCTAGTCTAGCTAGCCATCTTGCTCCAGGGATCCTCTATCTCCTCCTCTCTGGTTTTGGGATTACATGTGGGCTCCACTGTTTCTGAGCCATGGAAGGGTAGAACTTTCTGGTGCAGAGAATGTGGCAGAACAAAGTTGCTCACCTCACAGAGTCAGTAAGCAAAAAGCATCTCAATGGGTAGAGTCAGGGCAAGATATATACCCCAAGGACATTCCTCAGAGACATATTGTTTGCAGCCAGGCCCCACTCCCACAGTTCCATCACCTCCAGGTAGTCTATTCAATCTTTGAATACATCAGTGGATGAATCTATTTGTGAAGACAGAGCCTTTATGATCCAGTCACTGTCAAAAGCCCATCAAGCTTTGATGGTTCAACAGCCAAAAGCACAGGCTGAAAACCTCCTGACCCAAATTAAATTCCTGAAACCCCCGGTGGAAGGAGCTAACTATCTCCCAAATGTTGTCCTCTGTCCTCTATAAGCAAGCAGTGACACTCATGCACCTGCCCCCTACACAGTCCTTGGGATACATTTCCTATTTTCATTGACTTAAGAACCTCTTAGGCCCCCAACCCAAGGTTTGCACTACCTTCCAGTAGCAACATCCTGGGGACCAAGTTGTTAACACATGGACCTTAGGGGACAGCCATCCAAATCACAGCAAACAACAATAGACAAGAAGTACTGTATGGACTCAAGTCTTTGGGGGGAAAATATGTCAGGAGTGAGACCTAAATTTATATCCCCAAAAGCCATTTTGTTTCTGAAAAGTGGAGTCTTACACAAAGTAATTTTCTTTTGAGTTTTGTTGTTTTATTTTATGTGTATAGATGCTTTGCCTACATGTTATGTCTGTGCATCACGTGCATGCCTGGTACCCACAGAGGCCAGAAGAGGATGTCAGATCCCATGGAACTGGTATTACAGGTGGTTGTGAATTACCATGTGGGTGCTGGGAACAGAACCAGAGTCCTCTGGAAGAGCAATAGGTGCTCTAACCACTGAGCAATCTCTTCAGCCCCACTTTTGAGTTTTAAACGAAAGGAAAATTGTGATGAAGGTAACATTGGCAGAGCTTTAGAAAAGGAAGTATGGAGGCTGGTAGGAAGCAGGAGGCAGGCACATCATCAGCTGCTGCTTGGATCTGTGAACTTTGGTCACCTCTTCCCTTTGACCTCACACATGTGGAAAAACTAGAACAACAGGACAATAACATTGTTCCTAGAGGCTCAAGAAGCATATCAAGAGCTTTCCACATTTTTGTTTTATAGATGTTAGATATTTACATTCTATTCATACATTTAAAAAAATCTTCTATTGGTCATGTAGTCAAGGGTCCAGATAAACTCTCACTTTTCTGTTTCTTACGGTCTTTGAGGTAACTAGATGTCTTCAATAATAATAAAAAGTTTCCACCTGATACAGCTGTTGTAACACAGTGGATAAGGAGAAGTACATGTTCTTTACTTGGGTCCCAGCCTCCTGGGGGAGCAGCTTACTGCCCACTTGCTCACTTACAAAGAGAGTTTCCTGTGTGTAGGTTCACTTTCTCGCCAAGTGACACATTCATTCTTCCTGTCTTCCTCAGAACATGGATTGAGAGTTATCTAAACCTGTCTGCTGAATTGCAGTTCCTAAGACCTCCAAATAAAATATTTTCATTTTTGCAGTTTCTGAGTTTGGATGGATTGACAACCTCTAGCCAATCCTAGAATTGCATATGGAGGGCCATAAGCTTCAGAATATTGGAGAAACAACACTTTCAGTTAAATGGTTAGAAGATACCCCAAATCATTGGCTAGTTCCTTGAGTCACAAATTCTTATCTCGTGACCCACAACTACCGGTTTCAAGGTCTTGATTTTAATATCTTAAACAAAGAATATTTTTTTGCTCCCAATCTTAATTTAGGATGGAATTTTGAGAGGTACAGGATGAGTATAGGTTCAGATAAACTAATATTTTAAAAAATTTAGTCTGCATTTTTGGGGTAGTAGAGCTCAAACCCTGAGCCTTGTAGATGCTAGACAAGCAGTCTACAGCTGAGCTACATCTCCAGCCCTAAATGTTTATCTACTTATTATATCTGGATAAAATGCTGTTTGGGGGGTTCAATAGCATGATGAATTTAATCACTTTAGAATAGGCACACTATTTCAATATTTCTGTATTGGTTAGACTACCTTGTTTTATATCATTGTTCCAATTTTACAATATCCTCACTTTCTTCGAGGCACCTCACTCTTACGTTAATGTCTCTTTCTGCCCTGTGTGTAGACTGTTGGCCTCCATCATCTCTCTTCTCTACTCCATACTCAGCAAAACATTTTCATGGACAAGAAATAAAGTGATTTTCATTATTATCTGCATATGTTTAGGTCTTTATAGCTTCTGTAGATTACTGGAACTTCATGAGATCATAGCAGAGAGAATGCTTTTTCCAGCCAACTTTAAATGAAAGGAAAACATAATCGAAGCTAACAGGCTAGTAATAGTTTGCATGGATATGGTAAGGACTAAGAAACACAAGTTTCTTAATAGTTAGTATAAATTAATATAATACAAATGATAATAAAGGTAAGCAGTTCAATTTATAGGGCTATTACCTGCTTAGAGAAATTCCCTTCCAACCATCAAATGACTGAAACAAATGTGAGCTATATAACTAAAAAAAAAGCCAGAATTTGAAATATTAAGTTCAAATATGCAAGTTAATATTTTAAGTAACATAATTTATACTAGAATGTCTTGACTTTCCATTAATGTTAATAATGAACGTGTTATTCAGTTTGTATAGATAATTCAGATATAACGCAAGTTAGAAATGACTTTGGTGCTAATTTATGTGAATTTGGGTTAGCTGCTTGGTTTTTACATTCTGTAGAATTCTATGGAGCCTCCCGGTGAAAAAGTTGACTTCATTCCTATATCAGATTTAAGTAACAATAATTATTATTTTTAAAAGGCCAGCATGGTAGCGTATGCCTGTAATCAGGGCACTGGAGAGGCTAAGGCAGGAGAAGCAAGAGTTGGGTACCAGCCTGGGCTACACAGTGAGACCCTGTCTCAAAAACAAACAAAACAAACTAAAAATGTAAGTCTGTTTGATCAGATCCTATAATTCCTAGTAGGCAGGGCATTGGGAACATTTCTGTCCCTTGATGAGCCCTTGGCATTTTAGAAAACTGTGGCTTGAAGCAGGTTTTCGCTTACATCATTTGCTAGCATAGTGCTCAAAACACTTATTTTTTCCAAAACAATTTAAAGAATTATTCTGACCCTTGCTAAAACGGTAAGGAAAACTGTTCAAGATTCTTGTAACAGGCATCATAACTACCACAGTAAGAATAAGGGATCTGTTTAAACTTGGAATACAGAAAAACAGATGGACCTCAGTGAGACTACTACCAAGAGGACACATTAGACAAGGGAATTCTTGCTAAGCTAATGTAGTAAGATTCTTCCTCAAGGAAGGTCTGGGCGTTCAGACGTCAAGTGGGGGGGGGGGCGGTGTTCATTAAAGTCAGCAGGATTCTGGCAAGATCCGGAGTAGGCAGGGCCAAGATAGGGCATAAGGCAAACACCTCATCAGAAAGCTTCAGAGAAGCCTCTTGACTAAAGTCTGGTTAAGACTCTGTGAACACCAAACTGATTTTCCTATCATATTACCGTGTGCGGTCCCAACACTCACTCCTCCTGCTCTGTGGTCTTTAACAAAATAACAAAACTATACTTAGGGAAAGTCTAGAGTTGGTTGGGGGACGCCCAGGCCATAGTGGAGAGGAGCATTGGACTACAGCTACCATAAGCCCTCGCGGGTTTGCGACCCGCCTGTTCCCGCCCCTAATCCCAAACTGTGCAGCTGCGCAGAAGGTCCTGCGCTGGGAAGAGTGGGCGGTAACAGGACATCCTTGTCTAGAGAAGGTGGTGAAGGAGAGGAAAAGAAAGAGACCATAGACTTCTACCTCGGCCTAGAGCGGTCCTTAAAGTGCTGGGGAGAGGAGGGCGGGCGGGGACCACCCCAGAACTAGTCGCCGGCGGTATCATGGCGTCCCGGAACCCCCCTCCCCAAGGTGAGCGGCCAGGGCCCGAAGTAGTATATGGGATGCGGCCCACAGCTGTCGACCTTGTTCCCAACTGCACTTCTTCTTTCCCCACCTCCAACATTTCTGGGGCTCCGTCTCTACACAGCCCCTTGGCGCACCACCCCTCCGAAGCAGACGTCTCCCTCCCTTCTGGAGCTCTGCATGGAGCCTTCCCCCACCACAACCCCCCACGGCCCTGCCCCCACCTCAAGCCCTTCCCAGTACTCAAACAGTGGGGGGTTGGGAGGTTGGTTGGTTTTGAGATCCACGCTGATTTCTTCTCGCTGGGTTCCCGACCTGTTCTTTTCAGGGGAGGAACACCCCTCCCTCCTCTTTTCTCACTGATGGAAATGGACCCTGCCCTGACCCTACTCTGATTGGCTGGGTGACCCCCTCACTTCTATGTAACTTAGCTGGCTTCTGGCTACGTGTCCCTAAGGCCTTGTGCCTTTGGAAAGGAAATGGAGATATTATTGCCAGACCCTTTACTCTTGAGGCCTTAGTCTCAGGGATTGAGTTAATCACACTCATTAGTTTCCATCTGGGCATTTTAGTTTTAGGCCAGACATAACACTGAGTTGTCACAGATTTTATGAAAACAATTTGTACGATGTATTTGTAGATTGATTCAATTTCTTTTTTCCCATTTTGTGTTTTTGAAGAATATGAAAGCGATGACGAGTCTTACGAAGTGTTGGATTTAACTGAGTATGCAAGAAGACACCACTGGTGGAATCGAGTATTTGGCCACAGTTCGGGACCTCTGGTAGAAAAATACTCAGTAGCTACCCAGATTGTAATAGGTGGCGTGACTGGCTGGTGAGAACATCTTTTTCATTAAGTTTCTTTGGGAACCTGGCTACTGTCCTTTTGTAAGTGGGCCAGTCACCATGCATATTCAGTGTTACTCATTCCACAGGAGCACTACTGTGAGGCTTTCCTTTCCGTGATATAATTGGTGTGATCTATCTTCAGACATCCCTGTTGGAATTTGGTGATCCCCACATGGCCACCACAGTTCCACTCTTTATCCTTCCTTTGATTCAATATATATGCCCTCCTTTTTCAAACTGAGCAAACAGAGTGGATCTGATAGGAAGAAATATGTGAGTTAATTATATGTAAATAGTTATTTGCCAGTCAGTGCCAACAACTGGGAAAACCTATGTTATACTCCCACAGAAGAACTGTCCTCTAGGATTGTCAGCTCTGTATATAGCATTGTAAATGCTATCATGATGTATCATGATGATACAGAGGCTCCTATTTCTTGTGTGCTCCTTCAGATTGTGCTCATGCTCTGAAGAACTGGGAACATTGTTTCTTTGTTGGAATTAATGGACTCATGGCTTATTCTGCAGTGACATTGTGGAGCACAGTAAGGAGGAATAGTTAATGACCTTTCAGTACACAGCAATTCAGAGCACATGATTGCAAGGTTGTTGCTGTGTATCTTAATTCTGTTATTTTTGGAATAAAGGATTAACCAAATAACAAGGGACAGAACCAGTTCAACTGCTTATTTTGAAAATGTTGATGCCCATAGAGAATTTTGGAAGTGATGGTGCTTAGCTTGCAAGCATTTGTTTTTAATTCTAAAGTAAACTGCATATCTTGTGTTAATTAAAATATTTGCATATTACCACTTGGCATGGGTAAATTACATTTTTGACTTGTATTTTACATGCACCTTAGAATAATGATGCGCCTCCTCTTTGCCTTCTCATAAATGCCCCTTTATGATTTAAAACAAAAAACAATTATGAAGATTCAGTGCCTGCAATATTTATTTATTAATGTTGCTTTGTGGAAAAAGCTTGTAGTTAGAACAAATTTCTGGTGAAGGCCTTGTGCAGAAAGCTTGCAATTAGAACAGAAATTTCTGGTGAAGGCCTTGGTCATTCAGATGATTCACTGTAGGCTGGTTATACCTCTGTCCCTTAAATAAGTTCATAAATTGTTGCCAGAGGTGATTGGTTAATGAGAGTCAGGGCCAAAAGCCCAGTGTTAAAAAATCAAGAAATAGAATTATCAGAGTATTGCACATTTTCTTTTCATAGGGCCAAGTCGGCTAAGAAGTGCCATAATTGGCAGGTGTTGAAAAGAGAGCAGCAGAAGTCACTAGGTTTGTCTTAGTGACCAGTGCTAGCAGTGGCACACGAGCTTGGGGAGCACCCAGGCTTGGATATTGGAGAGACCTGACTACTTTCCCTGTTTCTGAGCCTTTATTGTTGATGCCCCTGTAAGGGACACATTGAATTATTGATAATAATATATACATTTGGATTACAGCCAGAGATATCAGAATCAGCCAAGTATTCTGCCTAGGAGCTGTGTAATTGTTTGTTTTGTTGTACATTATTTATTTATTTATTTATTTATTTATTTATTTATTTGTGTGTGGGGGTGGGAGTGTGCATGCAGTGGAGCTTGTGTGGAGGTTGGAGGACAACATGTGGAGAGTTGGTTCTCTTCTTCCATCCAGCAAGTTCTGGGGATCAAGCTCAGTTTTTCAGGCTTGGTGGCAAGCGCCTTTACTTGCTGAGCCACGTGTAATAGAATCTAATATATGGGTGGTTTGTTTTTGTTTTTCTGTATTGCTTAGGATCAAATCAAGAGCCTTGCAGTCTACCACTCAGCTACATCATCAGCTATGTCTGTGATTTGTTGTAATGACCTTTCTACTGTAATGTAGATTCAGCTCAGTACTTTTTAGAATCTTCTTGGATTATAAAATTCATATGATATCATGGTGCATGTTAAACAGGAGCAGTTAATAAGCATGAACCTAACCAGCTAACACTTGAGACAAATTCAGAACTTGAATGAGGAGTCAAAGGAGATTATATTTAGCTGTAGGTGTTCAATGATAAGAAATGAAAAGCACTGTCAGAATGGGTGCTTGCTAGGAGTCCTGGAGGATTTGAAGACCAGTTCTTGTGTTCTTACAAGAACTAATCCTTCAGTTCTTGGTCTGGGAAGCAGTGTTACAGAATCCCAGCATTACCAAGGTAGTGATACCCTTAAGAATGGAAAGGAGGCCTGGCAAGGTGGTTCAGCAGTTAAAGGTGTTCAATCCCATATGATGGCAGGAGAGGCCCTCTGACCTCCCCATGTGCACTATGGCATGAGCATGCATGTAGATACACACACAAATAAATACATAAATAAATGTAAAAAAATTTAAAGACTGGAAAGGAAAAAAACAGAGTCATAATATTTTAGAGAGGGGGTATGGAGAACTTTCATTCAGTTGTATCAAAGATGAAGTCAGAAGAGTCTGAGATAAATATGAAGTGGCAAGCCTGAAGAATGGTACTATCACATAGAAATTGGATCCTAGTAGCAGTCATTTTCAGCTATGTGTTCTTTGGGACCTATTTAATACGTGGTTCTGAGCACTGGAGAAGCCCATCATGTAATATGAAATGCAAATTTTCTGTTTGGGAAGGTATGTTGGTTTCCTAGGACACTTGTAACAAGTAACACGAATTGTAGCTGAAAACAGCAGACATTGATTCACAGTTCTGGAGGCTGGAAGTTTGAAATGAAGGTGTCAGCAGGTTGTGTTGGGCCCCTGGTCTGGGGTACCCAATGTCCACGGGAGGCCGCACCCCAATAACTCAGTCCTCAGATCAGGAGATGCAACAAGCAAGAGGATTTAATCGTTTGTGCAGATGGGCTCCTGCCTCACTTGAGAGAGAGCAGCAGCCCTGAGCTCAGCTTACAGGCTTCTTTTAAAGGCAAAAACCACAAACCAAAACCGGCAGCAGTGGGAGGGGGCCGGCAGCAGCGAGAGGGGGAAGTTTCGGGTAATTTTCAGCTTGGGCACAGAGCATGAAAAGGTCAGCTTTTTCTCAGCAGTTAGATTTTACATCTTACTTCCTTGTACAGCTTCCCAGAATATTCTTCTTTTGATCTGGGGGGACTTGGTTTGATTCCATCACTTGGTTCCTTCTTGGAGGCCCAGAGGGAGAAATCTCCATGTTTCTCTTCTACCTGGTGATGGCCAGTAGTTCTTGGCTTTCCATGGCTTGCAGAGAGGTCACTCTAATCTCTCTCCCTTTATTGTCATCACCTGATCATCTTCCCTCTGTGTGTTTGTGTCTCTGTGACATGATTCATACTGAATTAAAGGTCTACCATGTACCACTATGACCTCATCATCCCTAATTACATCTGCAGTGAACTTATTTCCAAGTAAGGTCATGAATTTGGAGGAGACACCAACTGATGATCACACAAGATCGCGTCAGAAATCTGGGATTCTTTTGCACGATTTGGTTGTAGAATACCGAGGGGACTGCTAGCTCATTTACAGAGTGTGGGCTGACACTCCAGGTTAGATGCGAGGAAACAAGCTCAATAGAAAATAGGTACTGGATGGGGTGCTTATGCAGCAATGTGGGCAGTATAATCATAAAAGTACAACTGCGCCTTAAAGGACTGGAAAGCTATAGATGGGCAGAGCTGGCAGGAATCCCTAGAGGTGGGGAGATTAATAGCTCAAGCAAAGGAGATGATGCATTTTGGAAACTCACTGGGGTGGAGCAGGTTTGGGTAGCGTGGGTGTTGGCCAGGTGTATGCAATGTCTTGACTGTATTAAGCACAGCAAATAAATGGCTTACTGTGGGAAATTTCAGCTTGCACACATGTAGAGGGAGGATAGTGCACCCCTGAGTAGTCATGATTGGTTTCAGTAGCTTGTTGTTTTCCTCTAAATCTTCCTCTTCTCTCCTCACCTTAGTTTGCAGCAAATCTCTGACATTTTAGAGGGTGCATATTTGACTACCCTGTGTGACTGAAGGGAAACATGGCCATTAGGAAAGCCTTAAAAAGGAGAAGGGGACAGGGTTTAGTGTGCCATGGATTGTTCTCATCTTTGTTGTTTCTGTCATTAAAGGTGCGCAGGATTTTTATTCCAGAAGGTTGGAAAACTTGCAGCAACTGCAGTAGGTGGTGGCTTTCTTCTCCTTCAGGTATGTCAGAGCCTTGTGCGCTTGCGTCTGCCTACAGTAGGTAGCCCTTGGAAACAGAGATTGTCAGATTTACCTGTTTCATTCCTCTTCGTTTTAATAGAAAGTAGAATTTTTCTTTTAGGCCTTAGTTCATGAAAAACCATAATGAGTTTTAAAACTATATAATGAGTTTGGAAACTATAATGAGTTCAATCATGAAAGACAATAGATTAAAAATTGCTAAATTCTCTAATGTAAGCAGAGTGTCATCTCAACTGTTAAAAAGATAACTGTGAACCAGTTATGCTTATATAGGCCTGGAATCCCAACTACTCAGAAGGCTGAGACAAGTTCAAGACCTGGCTGTCTTAGTGAGAGACAGTCTCAAAAAACAAACAAACAAAAAAAAAAACAGGTGGGGCTGTAGCTCACTAGTTGGGCCTTTGTATAGCATACCCAAAGCCCTGGGTTCAGTACCCAGATCCGTGAATAAGTAAATAAATATGAAAACTTGATGACCAAAAACAATTCATTTTTGGATGCCGTTTTCCCAAATTACTCTTGAAGCATCTCCCTAGAAGAATAAACATTTCACCAAAAAAAAAAAAATTTATTTTGACTGCTCATCTTGACTGCTTTAAACCATGTTTAAAATTCAGTCACACAAATTTCAAAAGTTCTCTTTTCCCCTCTTAAACCTCTGTAATTTTTCTCCCCAGAGGAAGCTCAGCTATTAACAATTTCTAACATTTGTTGTTGTTTTGAGACAGGATCTCTCTGCAGCCACAGCTGGCTTGAAACTCGCTATGTAGACCAGGGTGGCCTCGATCTCTGATCTCTCAGAGATCTGCTTGCCTCTGCCTCCTAAATCCTGGGATTAAAGGTGTGTGCCACCACACCCAACCCTCTAACATATTTTTTAAACTGAAAAATCAGAGCCTGGTGTTCTTGTCCAGGCCTGGAATCCCAGAAATCATGAGGCTGAGAAGCTGAGCAGAAGGATCTAGAGTTTGAGGCCAGCCATGACTACAGTAATATAACAATTGGGGGCGGCGGGGATGGGCGGACAGATGATGTAGAAAGTGGAAAATTAAGCTAAAAAAGCATCCATAATCCTATCTATAATCCTATTTCTGAGGCAAGTGGATGAAAATTTTAATTTTGTTCGTCCTTTTTTTTTAAGGTCTAAAAGCGCTTTGCTATTAGAAGGCATTTATCAGGATATTATCTAGCTTTCATATCTGTTTCGTGCATATTTTCCCCAAAATATCATTCCCTGAAGAAGATCAAATATAGTAAATCTTCAAATGGAAACTCTCTGGAATGAATGTCAGCAACAGTTTTGAAGATACTGTCAGTTATACCAGATTTAAAAAAGATCGATATTCATAGCAACCTGAATCTGACTTTAGTACCTAAGTCATTGATCCTGTAATAACCAATGTAGTTACCTTAAGTGCAAAGGGATAGTATTTATCTGAATTAAGCGCTGATCTTGGCTAGTTAACCAAACAGCTGTTTTAAGGATATATTTTATAGTAGTGACAATATTAAGAGTAATTCTTGTGGTAGGAGATGAAAAAGATTATTACTTTCTAAATTTAGTCCTTTGGATGAAGAGAATTGTATTTATAGTTTTATATTTTGATTTTTTATAGAATCAAGAGTATATTTAATTCTATTAGTATTTTGTTTTGTTTTGTTTGTGTGTTTGAAAAAGGGTCTCCCTGTTTGTTTGTTTGTTTCTTTGAGATAGGGTCCCCTTGTAGCCCCAGCTGGCCTGGAACTCACTATGGAGATCAGGCTGGCCAATCTACCTGCCTCTGCCTTCTGAGTCCTAGGATCAAATGCATGCAACACTGCACCCAGCTCTATCGGTATTTTGAAAACTCAGTTGTCATTTCTGTGCAGTGCCAAAGGATACTAGACTGAAGCAGAACTTACTAAAAATGTTCATAGAATAGAGAGAATTGAGTGTTTATTTTAATGTATTTCTGCATATTGGCTTCTGAGAAGTCTATATCAGTCCATTCAGTATTCACTGTTCAAATCCACATTTTGCCTTTTCTGCCTCCTACTTTTCCACACTTGATGTATGTGGTTTTTTTTTTTTGAAATCTCCAAGGCAAAAGGACATGGGTCCTATCTACATCAAATTGCTTTTACCCACAAATATAATTAGCCTTGAAAACTCAGTAAGAGGAACCTGAAAAAGAATAGAGGAATAAATGGCTTTTAGGCTAATTGCCCAAGATTCTTTGGCCTGCTTCTATGTATTTATAACCTTTGCTTGTAATTAAAGATAAACATTAGTTTAGTTAGAGAGCTTAAAGCTTTTCTAGTGACAATATTAAGTGTTTTCAGTAGATATTTATCATACCGCCGTCTTAAAATAGACATTGGGGCTGGTCTGAGTGCAGTAGCATTTACAACTAATTGATGGCAGCCAATTACAGAAGTCTCTGCTCTCCCTGCTTCTCTTAACAGGAAAAAAAAAGACGATGGTATATGAGTCTTTGAGGGTTTTTTTTTTTTTAAGTTATACATACTTGTAATTCAAAGGCTCACATACTTGAATGGGACTTGTTACAGATTAATCCTCTGCCTCCTTCCCTGTCCTCATTTTCCCCTCCCTTGAGGTAACCACTTTAATTTTTGGCAGAGCACCTTTTCCCTAAGCAAGTTTAATTAGCCAGTTTTTGATCTTCTGGTTACAGGTATTCACTAGCCACTTCCTGGCTTTGGCTATCATTTCTTGAGCTTGTGTGTTCTGTCCACATCCCGTTCTGCACGCGGAATGCTCTCTGCCCCTCCATCATGCCCTCCTGCTGCATCATGACTATTATTTCATAATTGTGTATGATTCATACCTAGGGTTAACTGAGCTTATTGAATTTTTGTCTTTAGCTGTGTTTGGGAAGGTTTCGTTTATTATTTCCAGTAGGAAGTTTGGAACTTTTTTCTTCAGATGAAATCTCATTATCTAAATCTTGTGGTCATATGCGTCAGACAGGCCTGTGCCACGCTCCTGTGCCTGCTTGTTTTCGAGGCCTGGTATGCACCTCTTCTGCAATTTCCCTTCTATACCACTCTGAGTAGTCAGTCCCTCTGCATTTCTTTTAGTTTTCTTCCTGTGTCTTAAGTTGTCTTGATCTCTTATTTTCAAGAAATACATCTTCCAGTAACTTTGGGAGAAAATGAATGTGGGTAGTATAATTTTTGATGTTTTGTATGTCTGAAATTTCTTCATTTTCTCTCATATTTGAGTATGAGAAATAATAGTTGAGCTGGGTTTAGATATTGCTTCATTGTCTTCTGACTTCATTGTTGCTATTAAAAGTCTAAAGCAGTTTGAACACCTAAATATTTGTATGTAAACTTTCCTCTCCCAATGAATGATCTTACGATTTTCTTTTTGCCCTTAATGTTTCCATTTTTCATATTGATAGTCCTTACTGTGCTCTGTTCTTACCCATTATGCTGGAAACTTAGTGTTCCCTTTCAGTTTGGGAAATTTTTTTAATTTAAATTATTAGTTAACGATTTCTTCCATTCGTGTATTCCCATCACTTCCCCCCTTTCCCCATGTTTCCTATTAATGTGGATCTCCTGGACTGGCTGTTCAGTTTTCTTAGCTTGTTTTTCCAATTTTTCAGTTCTGTCTTTTTGATTTGCTTTCTGGAGATATTGTCAACTTCATAGCCTGACTTTTTTTCTTATCTGCTTGCTTGCTTATTTATTTGTTCATTTATTTATTGTTGTTGAGGATTGAAGCATTCTACCATTGAGCTACATATAGCTCCAGCCCTTGTGCTTGTATTTTTAATGTCCATGAGCTTATTATTATTTAAAGAACCCACAGAGGTCTACCTGCTTCTGCCTCCCAAGTGCTGGGATTAAAGGTGTGTACCACCACACCTGGCTCCACTTTATTTTTTGAGATAGGATCCCTCACCGATTCTGGAACTGGCTGTTTCAGCTAGACTGGCTGGCCAGTCCTCAGTGCTGGAATTACAGATGTACTTAGCTGCATCTGCTTTTAAGTGGCTACTACGGATCCAAACTCAGGTTCTCATGTTTGTGCAGCAAACCCTTTACCCACTGAGCCATTTCCCTAGCATTTATTTATTTATTTATTTATTTATTTATTTATTGTTTGGTTTTCTCTTATGGTGGTGGGGATCAAACACAGAGTCATGTACATACTTAGGCAAGTGATTTACCACTGTGCTATACACTCAGCTCTTGTTTTGTTTATAAATCTCTTTCTATACAGTGCCTCTTCTCCTAAATTTTTGGTTTGTTTTGCAGTGTTAGGGATTGAACTGAGGCAAGGAACATGCTGTGAAAAGCATTCTGACTTTCAACTATATCCCCAGCCCCTTGTTTAAGTGTGTCCCCTTCCCTGCTGGTTTATTTTGGTCTCTAGTTTTCATGTTAAAAGCTTTCCTTCATGCCTGATGGTCCTTGGTTTTCTAAATTTAAGACCTAGGCCCTGAAACCTGATGGAAAACTCTAAACGTGTGATGGTGATGGGGCTTTCCGTTATAGGAAATCTAATGAGTCCAAGAAAAATAATCTAAAGATCTGAAATTGGGGGTTGGGGAGTCTTCTCAGTGAAACAGCCACCAAATTGCCTATAATGAGTATCACAAGTAGAAAACCCCATCTCCTTCTTTCTAGTTTTCAAGCAGATATGAATCTTTGCTTGAAAGCCTGGCCCTATTTTTAATGTGTATTTTTTAATTGCTCTGGGAATCGAACCCAGGGTGTCCTGTGTGCTAGACCAAGCACTCTACCACTAAGCTATACCATCAGCTCTTTTTTTTTTTTTAACTTGGAAGCTTTTATTTTATTGAAACCTCTTCACCTAATTTCATTAAATATTTTAATGTTGTAGAAAACTCAAATATAGTTCAAAAATGGTCATCATTGCTCTACCCCCTCTCCAGTATGTCGATTTGCATTTCTTTATAATTACTTAGATGAGTTAGGAGTCAACAGGACTGAACTGGGTCCTCTATGCTCAGTTCTGACAAGCTACTTGCCCATTAGGTTGGATATACCTGACTCTCACTGGGAACAGATTACTTGTCCTTGGTCATCTTTGCACTGCAGCATACTGTTCAGTTTGGACCAGTCCCCTTCATTTTGACCAGGTTGCTCTCTAAGGGATGATAGTCATGGACTTCTCAAGGAAATATCTTCAGTGCTAGTGGGTCATATCCATGTCAGACAGACCATTCTCTTGCTCATGATGGGACCCTTTGGGAGAATGTAGCCCAGTTACTTTGTTACAGTCTTCTTTGAACCAGATTAGTTAATATGTTTTGGGGTATTCACTATTTTTTATCATCATGCATTTGGTGTGTCTTATTTATCTTTTGCCTGACATTATTTGTGACTCTAGGGGCACAGTGATTCATAGTCTGGTGAGAGAGATAGATGTGAGCAAAGAAATTTAATCATCTGGTGAGGGCTGAGCTGGATGGGTGCACACAGTGCTGAGAGCACAGGGAAGAGCTTGAAGTGCTTGGAGATCTTGGAGAAGGAGAGCTGGGAGAGAGAGATTTAAATCCTTGGTATCTCAAAGTTTTTCATTTCACCTGCAACTGTGTGATATTTTACCCCCCAAAAAGAGTGTCTCCACAATCTGTTTCTCAAATAACTTGAATTTACTAACTTTGGGTAACATTTTTTTTGTATTTATTATATATAAAATGTTATTTGTGAGAATTTATTTAATCAATCTGATTAAATAGCCTCTTTTATTCAGTTTGGGGTGGGGGTAGGTAAGCAGTAACCCCGAGGCAATGAAATTTAGGTTTTTGATGATTTCATCATTAATGAACTCACAGCAAAAGGTTGACTTTTTAAAAACTTCATAACTTGGAGTGGTAAATCTTGAACATGACAGTTGAATTGTGGATTGCCATGTGTGGTAACATAGATAACACGTTGGTTTATTCTAACCAAAAAAATAAAGCTATGTACATCCTAGGTTAAATTCTCTAAAAGTTTCAAAGTAATGAACTAGTTTGATTACTTAGTATAAGTAAGGAGTCCTTTCAATTTATATGTAGAATAGGCTCCTCTAAAGTTCATTATCACCTCCATGACTGTCACCAAATCTGGGGTCAAATACTGCCATTCACTTGCCATTCGATTTGATCACTTCTCTTTTGTTGAGACTGTAGTCTGATGTGATAAATAGACTGTGATGTGTAGTCTGAGGTGAATAAATAGAGGAGTAATTGCAGCAAAAAATTCTTCTCTGGAGTCAAGTCACAGAGAAAATAAAACCTAAGATTTCCAGTCAAACTGTAAAATAAAATATTTTTATTATATGAAGTATTTTCTATGTGATTAAAAAGTCAAAGTGGAGTTCAGTAGAGGTGGTACCATAGCATACAGAAAGCTATCAAAGGAGAAATGGGGAAAATGGGGACACTTTACATGGGGACAGTGGGGAAGGTGGATAAGACAGGGAGAGAAAGAGGAGACATAAGTAGTGCCTAGGCAGTATAAAAAAAGAGAGGGAATCGTATTAGTCCAAAAACCTACTGAAAAATTACACATACAGTTTCCCTACATGAGTCCATGTGTATGGCTGAAGCTACATAGCAAGAAACAATGCCAGACAGGAGAAACCTTCCTTTGAGTTTGTCCAGGGTGGTCCAAGAGACTCCCAAAATTACACAGGCTATTACTACAGTCCTTGATTGCCTTCCAGAACTTGATGGTAAGACCTATTGCTGAGGACAGCACATACTTTGGAAACAAGATTTGGAGCAATAGAGCTGGAACTGACCTGGAAGCCACCTCCTCTGAAGGCTGCCTCTCATAGCTTTGGAGAGCACTATGCATGCTGATAAGGGAGAACATCAATTAATGGTCCAACCCCAGCTTCAAAGCCTGAAAACCATATCAGTGACCAACCAGCACAGCAAACAACATTGGTGCAGTAGTGGCACTTTTACCTTGGGAGTAATCAACAGCTGCCTGATTGGACTTAAAGCCCAATCAGTGGGAGGAAACTCATGTCTGGTACTGTACACCTAGTCAGGTACACATAGCTGGAGAGGTCATAGATCTTAGAGAATACCCAAGGCTCTCACATCCATAGAAAAATGTAATTTCTTACTATGTGCAAAATATGGATCCTTAAATTACAGACAGGTATCCCAGTCACTACCCTTCAAAGTAGCTTCTTTTTCAATAGAGATTATTACAGAGTTACACCACTGGTCACACACAGAGATTCTCTGTGAATTGCCCAAGCCTAAGTGGCACATCTAGGATGCAACCTCTACACCTGAGACTCATGGAACATAGAACAGGGGATGAAGAGAACACTAGTATATCTTTCAATTCTCATCAATGAAGCTCCCTCCTGCAACAGAGGGCCAGGAACACAAAAGGCCACAAATGGCCAAAACGCAGAGAATAAGAGTTGGCAGAGTGTGGGCCTTTGGACAGGACTCCTATATTGATGTACACTCACCCAGGGCTCAGGGACCGTTGCAGAAGAGGGGGTGGAAAGATTGTAAGAGCCAGGGAGGAGATGCATGACCATTTGGAAATGGTCCTACAGGCGCCTGGGACCCTTCACATACAAACCTACAGCAATGGTGTCAGCATACACAAGACCCATGCAAACTTAGGCAGACGAAAATCCAGCACAGAACTGTGGAATGAACAGCAAACCCCAATCTTAGTCGAAATATTGGCAGCTGATTACTGCTGGATGAGGAAGAGCTGATCTTCTTGAAGGGAGAGACTCAAGATAGGCTGACTAAACCCCAGTGGATGAACTTGTGCTGAGGGACATCTTGGGACACTAACTTTTCATAATAGGCCTTAATTCAAATGACAGAATGTATGAACTCCAGTGGAGGGGCTATGAGAAAGTGCCAAAGGGGAATGAGGAGAGGGGTATAAAGTTGATTTTATGTATGAAATACACAAAATTTCAATAAATTTATAAAAAAATCAAAGTGATATATTAAAAGCTTCTAGAGTGAATAAGATTGATAGAAGTGACTTAATAGTATATGTGGTTTATTTAGTACTTGTATACTTATATATTTATGTTTTATTATTTGAAAACACTGACTGTACTGGTTACATCTTGCTGCTGTTCTTATCCTAATTTTGCAGTGGTTCAGTGGCCCCATATGAGGCTTCTTATGATGAATAAGCATTTAGCTATTGTTCTATTAAAAGGATTTATAGCATGAAACTTGTATAGAAAGCAATTACCAGAAAGTGTTCTTAAGTCGAGTCGAAGTTAGTGAAGCGCCTATTTTGATTTCTTTAGTGATCTATTAGCTGATTGGCTTCTGATTCCTAGCTATTAAATATCTACTGAATTAAAAAGTATTTTTGTTAGTTATATCTGAATAATCTCTCTATCATTTTAAGTGATTTCCTTTTCCAAAATGTATGATGATTGAAATTATAGTAGTTATAATGCAGTTTTTTCAATCTTTCCCATTGTGTACTATACTTTTCTTAACCCAGTGTTCAGCACATCTAAGTAGTCAGTTATTATGTTTAATGCCTGTTTCTCTGACTGGCCTAGAGCATTCTGAGAGTGGGGGCTTATGTCTCCTTTGTTCAGTGCTTGGCTAAGAGCAAGCATTCGGTACCTCCTCTTGAATGAGTAAATTAGTCAGGAAATAAGAGTTTCTTAGAAGCATGAATCTCTCAAAATCTAAATGGTCACATAATTGTGATCACATAAGTTGATAATAGTCAACTTTCATTACATTTTTTGCAGGTTGCCAGTCACAGTGGCTATGTGCAGATTGACTGGAAGAGAGTTGAAAAAGATGTGAACAAAGCAAAAAGACAGATTAAGAAGCGAGCGAACAAAGCAGCGCCTGAAATCAACAACGTAATTGAAGAAGTAAGATGAAAAGCAACTTTGGCTTCTCTTTCTTGTTATGAGTCTCAGTAGAAAATATAACTGGGGATTGCATTTTTGATGGTGCTTTAGCTGGGCAAGGTAGCCGATGCAAGTAATCCCAAAACTTGGGAGACTAAAGTAGGAGGATTGCCAGGAGTTACAGACCAGCCTGGGCAGTAGAATGAGACTGTCTCAGAAAAGCAAAGAAAAAACCAAAACCGAAACAAAAGCCAAAACAAAATGAAAGTAGTTGAGAATGCTACTTAATTGAGATTCATTAATTGATAGATTTTTTTAAATTGGCATTTTTATTGTATTTTTGCAAATTTCATGTGCCTTGTTTCAGATTTCTTGTCCACGTCCCCATGTCTATGCTAGAATTTTGTTTGGTTTGAGCTTATATAGGACTTATGCATGCTGTCACCATTGCTGTGAGTTTATATGATCAATTTCCAAGCCACCTGAAAAGCTTTCATTGTTGTCATCCACCCCCCCCCCCCCCGCTTAGAATCTTTCCACCTCCTTTTCCACAATGATCCCTGAACCTTAGGAGACCGAGGTTTGAAATAGGTGTCCTAATCAGGGATAAGCATTCACCCCACGCTTAGAATCTTTCCACCTCCTTTTCCACAATGATCCCTGAACCTTAGGAGACCGAGGTTTGAAATAGGTGTCCTAATCAGGGATAAGCATTCTGTAGCCTCTTGTTCTCTGCACAATGGCCAATTGTGAGTCTCAACCACCATCTGCTGCACAGGGAAACTTCTTTGGTGAGAGTTGAGAGATACATTCATCCTATGTGTACATGTTGCACTGAAGTTGCACTTAGAATTAAGCGTCTTACAGAGACTTATTCTCTTTGTTTGACCAGTTCTGGAATTCTGTAACAGTCTCCATTTGTTGCAAAAAGAAGCTTCTTTGATGAGGGGTAAAAGGTACACTTGTCTGTAAATATGAGGATGCATATTTAGAATATAGTAAGAAATTACATTTGTCCAGGGATGTGGCAAAAGTAGGTTTTTCTGTAAGATCTATGACCTCTCCACCCATGTATATTTCGCTGTTTATAGTGCTGCACAAAAGTCCCCTTCTATTGAGTGGGCCTTAATTCCAATGACATAGCTGTTGATTACCCCCCAAGATACAAGTGCCACTACTGTAGTCTTCAGCAATAGAGTCTTACCTTCAGGTTCTGGAAGGTAATCAAGGGTTGTAGCAGTAGCTTGTATTATTTGGGGAGTCACTTGGACTACCCTGACAAACAACTTGAAAGGAAGTTTCTCCCTCCTGGCACTGTGTTTTTTCTTATATAGCCTTCAGCTATACATATGTATGTGTGTATATATCTATAGATATAAAATATGCATATTTTTCAGTAGTATTTTGAACTAACATATTTTCATCTGGTTTTTTACACCATCTAAGCAGTATTTATCTCTCCTCTTACTTCCCCTCTATAACCCTTCCTACTATCTCCTCAGTTAAAGTAGTCCTCCCTTTTCCCTGTTCCCCCCTTAATAACATCTGTCACCTAGGTAATAAACCCCTCTCTTAAGCTCCCTTCTTCCCACTTTAAATTTGCAATTTTTAAACTTTATTATTTTTATTTTACATGTATGAGTGTATTACTTGCATGTATGTTAAGTGCACCCATGTAGTGCAGTGCTTGAGGTCAGAAGAGGGCATCAACTTCCCTGGAATTGGAATTAGGGATGGTTGTTAACTACCATGTGGGTGCTGGGAATCAAACCTGGGTCCTCTGCAAGAGCAGCTAGTACTTTTAACTGGTCATCCATCTCTCTAGCCCTAGATTTGCAATTTTTTATTATTGTTAAGATATATATAACAAAATTTCCCATTTCAACCATGTTTAAGTATACAGTACAGAAGCATTAAATACATTCATACTCCTATGCAACCATTACCACTATCCATTTGCAAAACTTTATTTTATAAAATCATTTTAATAAACATGAATTCCCCAAATTTCCCCTCCCCTCAGCCCTTCGTAACTTACCTCCATTCCACTGTGTGACTTTGTGGCGTATTCATAAGTAGAACTGTACATTTGTTCTTTTGTTGTCTGTCTTATTTCATTCAGTGATAAGGTTCATTCACTTTGTAGCATAATTAAGAGTATTTTTGTTGAAACTTACTTTGTTTTTCAGGCAACAGAATTTATCAAGCAGAACATTGTGATATCCAGTGGCTTTGTGGGAGGTTTTTTGCTAGGCCTGGCTTCTTAAGGACTTAAATGCTCTGTCTTACTGATCCTGACTGTGAGAAGAGAAGTGGTGGTGACAGCACATGCCATCAGAGTCTCCAGAGTAAGGAACAACCAACGAGATGGACAATTCAAGTGCAACAGCTTAGCATTCTGCCATCTGAAGCTTGGCGGGCTAGTATCTGCTGTAAAACAACCAGTGTGGGATGTGAATCATATTCTTGAGCAGATCGTGGCTTTTGCCATTTTTTTTTAATTTACATCTGTTTAGAAACACCTATAAATATCACCATTGGATATAGATAAGGGGAGAGGGATAAGAAAAGAAAAATCTATGTATACTGTCCAATGAAATAGTACCCTGTTTTTATTTAAATGTTCTTCTTTCTGTTTTAATTATTGTGCCAATAATTGTCTCATAGCGTCAATATTAGGACTAACTTTTTAAAAGATGTGTTTGCAATAAACTGAAGAACTGTAGTGCCATTTCGTGGAAGGCTTTAGAAATAATAGAATTGTTAAAGATACTAAACTCTTATGTACAAATTTTTATGTTGTGTGCCCCCGCCCCATTTTTCTTACTTTGCTTATAGAGTAACTTTACATTTCAAAGAAGGCTCCTCTAAGGAAATACGACATGCCTGAAGCTATTTTTCCTTTTCTAGTGTCCACAGTTTTTAAAGTACCTTCCAATATGTTAGCTTCTAATTCCTTGGTTTTATATTATTTATTTAGCCTGACAGCCTGGGCAGAGAGAACACATTAGTTATGTCATTGATATAGTTTATTGACCTCAAATGTGTTTCATTTTTATTTCTAAAAATCCTATTATTATTGGTCCTTTTCTTTACCAAGAGGTACAAATTACTTTAAAATACTTAGTGATAGTACATACATTTACTGTCTGAAGAATTGTGTTTTTTCTGTCTAATTATAAAATTATAGCTTAAAAAGAATTGTCTCCTGGGTGGCATGTGAGACGTGAGTACTAAGACTCGTAGGCTTTGGAAGCATTATGTTGCTTGAACACCAGGTCACTTAGCTTGTTTCTCAGCCAGCATCACACTTGCTCACAGTATTCTTTGTTCAAGAAAAGCTTTTTGTATTGTTAGTTTTGCCCATAGAGCTCTAGGTTGATGTTGGGCAAAAAGAGCAGAGCAGTATAGATTGGAGTCCCTCAGAATGGAAAGACTCTAGATACTCTATCTCCTTTAGCTAGGAAGCCTCCAGAGTATATTTTGCGTATTGTAAACGTGACATTTTATGTTTTCAATATTGGTTACAAATGTGCTTTTCATGAGACTCCTTAAAATCAAATGTTGAATCGTTCTTTAATTTCTTTTATTCTCATTAGTGCCTCGGCTAAATAAAATTTGGACTTTCTTAATATGAAGTGATTACGCCTATAAATACTTTTATTCTTCTTTGAGCTTTTCTTTATTTGTGAACTTGCCAAACTTTTCGTTGCTATAAAATTAAAAGGAAAAAATGTCACAATTGTGTTCAGGTCAAGTTGACCTTGGCCCTGTTTCTGTGTGCCATCCCTGTCTGCTCCCATACAGCGAGACAGGCTACTTCAGGGAGCTTCAGTCTCAGTTTTCATTTTGAAAATGTTTGTAGTGTCTATTCTTTACATGCTGCACTAGAAAAGTAGGGAAGACACAGAATGTTTGCTCTCAGGCTTTCAATTAGAGATATTAAAATCTTCTAATATGAAAGATTGGATAATGCAGGAGATATTGGTATATAATGTAGTAGCAAATGAGTAGCAGACAGAATTATTTTGAGTGTCCAAATATACAAGTGAAAACTAGAGCTAGAAATGGTGGTACACCCCTGTAATCCCAGCACTCAGGAGACTGACACAGGAGGATCACAGTGAGTTGGAGGCCTGCCTGAGCTACAGAGTGAGACCCTTCCTCAGAAAATGAGAGCAACAATGAAAATAAAAGCAGCAAAAGATAGCATTGTGTTATACATTTCTAAATATATTGAGATGTTTGAAAATCTTTGTATGCAAATGAAGCATTATTAGCAGTACTCTCCATACTGTCCTATCTCTCAGTGCTGTTCTGCCTCTTGCGTACGCTGCTCTTCCCTCCAGGTTGAACACTATTTGAAGCAGTTGTGTTAATCATCTCTTAACTTGTAAGGCATATAATACAGGCTAAGTTTACCTACTGTCTTAGTTTGTTCTTCATTGCTGTGACAAAACACTCTGACCAGTACCAACTTGGGGAGGAAAGGGTTTATTTATCTTACATCTCCCAGGTCACATGCAGTTCATCAGGGAGCCCAAGGTAGGAACTCAGGGCAGGAACCTGGAGGCAGGAGCTGGAGCACAGGCCATGGAGAAATGCTGCTTACAGGCTTGCTCCCTGGGCTCCTGCTCAGCCTGCTTTCTTATGCAACACAGGCCCACCTGCCCAGGGGTGGCACCACCCACAGTGAGCTGGGCCCTCCCACATCACTCATCAAGAAGATGCCCTTCAGACATGGTCACAGGCCAGTCCAATAGAGGCAATTCCCCGATTGAGGCTCCCTCAACCCAGGTGTGTCAAGTTGACACTAAAGCTATCCAGCACACCTACCTTATCTGAAATCTTGGAGCCAGAAGTATTTCACATTTCATGTTTTGGAATATATTTTAGTTACTTTTTTGATGCTGTGACAAAATACCCTGACAAAAGCACCTTGCAGGGTTTGTTTTGGCTCACAGTTCAAGGGTACAGTCCATCATCGTGGAGAACTCAAGGCATCAGGACCTTAAACATTGTGCCCTCAGGCAGAAAGAAGAGAACAGTGAATGCTTATGCTCAACTAGCTGCCACCCTCCTTTATTGTAGGTTTTCCTACCTCAATTAACCTAACCAAGATAGTCCCTTCCAGGCATGCCCAGAGGCTAACTCATCTAAACACTCCCTCTGGTGTACCTGGAAGCTTGTCTTTTAGGTAATTACAAATCCTGTCAAGATGACAATCTACTGACTAGCACAATTTGTTTATGCATAATGAGATATCTTGGGGGTGGGACCAAAGTCTAAATATGAAATTCTTTTATCTTTCATATGCATTTTCTACAGGTAGCCTAAGGATAATGATAATTTTATATGATGCTTTTCTATATTGCAGTTTAGGGGGCTAGGAGTGCTTTAAACTTGAGGATAATGCATAAGCTATTGTGTACCTGCATTTTGATTGACCCATTGCATGAGCTCACATGTGGAGTTTTCTACTTGTAACATGTAGGCATTGACAAAGTGGGGAGTGTTTTAAATTTGAATTTCATATTGGGAATATGCAATCTGTATAGTGCTTTACTCCTGATAGGTATTCAGCTAGCATTAAGGGATGAATAAGTATGCAAAAAGCATATTTGTTAGATTTGGTGTCACCCTATAGGAAAATGTTCCTTTGTAGTGCTCCAGTGAAACAAAAGTTCCATAGGAAATAATAACTTCGTAGAGCTCGTTTGCAATGAAATGCTTAAATAGCCTTTTGTCTGAAATGGAAATTTTTGTGTTTCAGGGCATAAAACTTAACTTATAGAATATAGCTATTTTGTGTCTTGGGCTTTGGAAGATATATAGGGACATTTGACTCTTTTATAGTTCTTATCCTTTCTCAAGAATAGATGTTTTTAGTATATTTTCTTATTTCAAACACAATATGAATGAAATCTATTCTTTTTATAGAAGACTAAATCAGCATGAAGTTTTCCTTTATTAAAACAGACTTTAAGTTTTCTTTATCAACTTCAAGTAATATCTCCCAATTCCTTAAAACGAAAGATGAATATAGTAGGATCTCTTCCCTCCTGATCTTTGTTAAAATTGTAAGTTCAGTTAAGGGCATATTCAAATGGTAGAATTTTATGATTATTAAGAACAGTGTAGAGTTATATAACTTAGTGATAAAACAAGCATACCTAGATACTTGTGTTCATCACGATTATTTCACAGAGGTTGAGGCTCAGGATTTTCACTTCGTGATTTCACCATTTCTATATTGTCTGAGGTATGTGTACTGAGCGCATGCTAATTTACAGCTAAAACAAGTTCAGAACCAGGGATCAGAATTTAAAACTAATGGTTTCTGCTTTTATCAAAATATTGGACATAGTTCAAGAAGTCAAATAGGCTTCTAAAGTAAGAAGTAAGGCATCTAAACAAAAAATCACTTCCCTATTCCTACCTCTGTCAAATTCAGTGGCTTTTCCCTGATAGATGTTTAAACTATTTTAGATGTTTCTCTTCTTATTTACTACAACCATATTTCTTGGACTATTTTTAAGAGAGAGAGGAGAGAGAGAGAGAGAGAGAGAGAGAGAGAGAGAGA